TACGAGTGGTTAGTAAGAAGATATTGAGTTCACTTCGTATGTCAGTATTATATCGAGTCAAGTGCAGACTTTAACAGATCTCAGAAAGCTCATCTCAGCTGCCTGTACTCTTGACATATCTTTCTTACGAGTAACCCACGACTCTGAGCCATATAGAAGTGCGGTGCTGCCATTATTTTGCAGAATTTTATTTGAGTTTGTTTTCTTGTTTTATTTTTGAGTTGTTTTTTAATACTTTCACAAATTCTTTGAAATTTATGTAATTTATTTTCTATCTCTTCATCCCTCTCGTAAGAAATATTACAACCTAAGTAATTAAATGTTTTTATTTGTTCCAGAATGCGTGCATCCACGACGATCTTAGTTCTGACATTTCCCATGGAAAGCCATAGTTTTAGTTTTTGGAACACATTTTCATGTTATATTCATATCCAATTCTTTGGAGGAAATATACTGATTTCTGCAAATTATTTAAATCCTCTTTAAAAAACCTAGGCCCAACTGACCCGGCTGGTAGCACATTGTGACAGGGTTGCGGTGAAGACTTCAACGGCAGCGAAGGCGAAAAAGGGTTCCATGTCACCGGCTCCACCGTCGGAAGAAGCACTTCTGTGGGGAAGACGGATCCCTGGGAAGGCCGGAAAGACAATAATCTGTCTAAGGGAACGTCATTTAAATCAAACGATGCCTGTTTAGGGACCGTAAGTTGGTAGTCCCAATACTAAACTCGCTTAGCAATCGGATCGGTTATCCATCCTGAGGACATAAAATAAACTTTCAAGCTTCTCACATAAAGAAAGCCGAATGTACATTTTAAAACTAATTTTAATAAAATAAAAATATTTTTGACTTGGCACCTTGATTTTTAAAGTTCCTTAAAACATATGGGGAGAAAATTTAAAGAAAACATTGAAGTCATTTTGAGCAAAAAATTGTTTAAAAAGTTTAAACTAATGGTGCTACAGAATGACACAGACTTTCTCGTAATAGTTTTCCACTTCCTTTGGTCTCGGCTAGCTACGCGAACTTGACAAATACTCTTGCCAGCTGCCATAATCTAATTGCTTGTCAGCTGCCTAATCAGAGAACGAAAATATTATTTTATGAATATTAAAGAACAATAAAACCTCGTCTTAAATTGCAATTTTCTTTTTAAAATTTGGAGCCGTTTTCAAGAAAATTGCGTTAAAATTTGCACTACTGTAAATTAGACATTTGAAACTCTTTTTCAGAGAAATTTTTTCGGATTTCGAAAAATTACATTTGAAATACTTTAACTCACAAATACTATAGTGTTTACAAATTCCTGAAAATGTGCATATTAACGGCGTGAGAGATCTTTCCAATAAATTACATTTGTGTAATTTTTGAAAAAACAAAAAATGTTGAACTTCATGACATATTAAAGAGTGAAATAAGCACTATCCGTTCCAAAAGTTTGAAGAAAAAGTTTGGAGCCGTTGTTGAGAAAATGGCAATTGAGCGTTTCTGAAAATGTGAAATTTTGAGCTGTTTTAACAGAAAACGGTTCAGATTTCGAGAAACTTTATACGACATTATTTAAAGCACATTTACTCATAAATATAATAATCTGAACAAATTGCCGCTAATATAAATATTAACGATGAGAGAAAGTAAAAAATTACATTTTTGTAATGTTTAAAAAAACAAAGAATAGAGCAATATAGCGTTTTTGTCATCTTATAGAGTACATTTCGCACTATTCCTACCAAAAGTTTAAAGAAAATTTGGAGCCGTTTTTGAGAAAATCTTGTTTTTGATTTTTTTAAATTGCGAATATTGTACAATACTGCACGAAAACTACTAAAAGTTTCAAAGAAATGTACATGACTTCAATGAAATAACTAATTATGGACAACAAATTTAATTTGAAGGAAAAACCTCTATCTTCAATTTTGTTGGTGACGAAAGACGCCAAAAAAATTCATACTTTTGAAATTTTCGAAAATTCAGAGTTATCCGTGATAATAGGGCATATGCCACTTTTATAAGTGTATGTTACATTATTCGTACAAGTAATTTAAAGAAAAGATGTGGAGCTATGAAGAATATTTTGAAAATCTCTGGAGGGCTTAATGTAAATTACTACCAAATTTTAAAGAATGTTTTTCAAAATCTTAAAGCTTCGACTCGAGCCAGATGAACAGGGGTTTTTTCAAATTGAAAAAAAACAACAACAACAAAGTATGTATGGTTTAGGCGCTAGCTCTTAGTTCACAGACGTTCAGACGGAGGGCAGATGGGCGTTTTTCCGTCAATTGATTTTTTAGTATCAAGGACCCATAAAACAGGGATTCTGGCTGCACCACGCGGTAGACGATTTTTCACTCTTAATTTAGCAACTGTTATTTTCCAGTATTTCGTTATCAGGGCCCGCCAATGAATTTTTCTTGCATTACATAACTTTCCCTTATTGCACCGCACACGTATGTATACGGGAAAGTAAAAATGTCAATATTTTGCGCAAAACTACACAAAAACTACTCCCAGTTTCGAAAATTGAACATGACCTTATTTCAAGACCTTTCTTTAAAGAACAGATTTCGTTAAAGAAAAAAAAAATATTTTCAGTATTACAGCTGTAGGAAGAAACGCCAAAAAATGCTCTTTTACAATATTCGAAAACTAAATTTTTAACGAACATGCGTCCTGCACCATTCTCTTAAGTGACCTTTACGTTGATGTTTCGGTTTCAAGGGCTCACAAAATATCTGTGTGGATCAAAATGTCACGTCGTTAATATTTACATTACTGGCATTTTTAATATATTATTGCATTTGTGAATACTGTGCTGGAAATTATTTCTTATGGAGTTTTTCAAAATCTCAAAAGTTGTTGTGAAAAAGTTCATATTTGCGCATTTGTCTTGTTCTATCCTGTGTGCAAATTTTCATTGGAAATATTACATTTATGACCATGTTTCGTTCTTCTGTAGTATTTATCTCGCATTTCTACTAATAGGGAACCAAAAAATTGAGAAAATGTGAAAGAAAGTATTTTACGCAACGATAGAAACTGATTGATCCGAAGGGCCGCCCCCCCCCCTTGAGGGCCATGAGGGCATGAGGGCCATGAAGGCCTAGAGTGTTTGTTTACCTTGCTTTATTAGGCAAAATATATTTAAAAATTAATTTATGTGCGAATTGAATGTTCGAATCATGCAATTATTTAAACAATAATACTCTATAGTCTCGTATCTGCAGTTCATCAAGTACATAAATAATAAACAATATAATAACAAATATGTTTATTATTTAACTAAAATCTATCATTCTCCCCCCCCCCTATTGATCGGCTGGATCCGCCCCTGCTGGTAAGTAGCAGCTAGGAACAGTGTGGGGGTAATGTCGAAAACCTAGTATAGTCAAAGAGATTAGAAACGCAACAGAAATAACTTGTAGAGGTTAATTAGAATTAGAAGGAATACAATTTCAACTTGTTTTGTATGAAAGAAAAATGTTTGGGGCTCCAGTTAAGCCGGGGCCTGGGGCAAGTTGCTTCAACAGTTTCCCCTTTCGGGCACCCCAAAAAATTCCATTGTGAACATTGTTACAAAAATCCATTTGTTCTCAGCGAAGATGAGTGGGATGGATGGTGTGTTAAACAGTGCAAGAACAAACATATGTTTTAAATAGAACAGCCAGCACAATTAAATACAAGAAAACAAAGGCCGATATGCCGATATCTGCATCATTGATGACGACGCTTATTATTATTATTATTATTATTATTATTATTAT